AATCTGGGAAGAATTAATCTAATGCCTTCATTAAGGTATTATTACAATTATAAATATTTATTAGTATAATTATATTTGGTAAAATCATATTATTTCTTAAACTCAGAAAAAAATATGAACAGAATTATTTTTCCCAGTATAAAATATTTTTAATAAAAACAAAATTTTAATCTACAGAAGTAAGTGACAACTCTGGGGAAGATAGGGGGAGGTTTGTAAAGTTACAATAAAAACAATTTTATTATTTCATAATCTCAATTTCTATAGAAGGTAAAACTAAATAAGCATAGGAAAACAAATACCTCATTAAACATCTATAGATTTATCCTTTTGTCCAAATTTATTTTTTTATTATATCACAAAGAAATGTCATAAATGCTATTGTGGTTGTGTTTCTATGCATATCATTTTTCAGGAAAATGTTATTATAACTTGAGTTGTTGAGTAGTATACTTGCTTTTCTTGAGATTCTCCTCCCTCCCCCCACAACACACACACACACACACACACACACACACACACACACACACACACATTATGTCACATAATACATTGAATCATAAAGTAACTTAAATATTTCTTTAACTTTTCAGTATTAACTTAATAGTTCTTTTGCACTATTGTAATCCCAAATCTGACATGTGTGCCATACTCAAATGGGGGCCCTACCCTTATATTGTGTATTTGCTGTCTCTCTTATTTGAGTAGCTCAAGAACTTATTCTTACTTGAGGCATTGCATAAATGGTTAATGTCAACTGGTTTATGCTTTTCAAGCTTCTTAATAATTAAGTGATTGGTTAATTACATTTTAATTCTCTTGTTCAAAATCTTTCCTGGGAGTATATTTTGTGTTAGTCCAAACTATCTTTTATGTTGTTGAGATAATTAGGTCAAAGAAAGTAGGAAAACATTCATGGTTTGAGGTATTCTGATTGTTACTTTGTTACTCTAAGTAGGTATCTCAACTATTTTTATTAGAAAATGGAGGGAGCTTTATATGGCAGTAGTTGAATTTTTATCTCTTAAAGTTCATAGTTTTGGCTTAATGAGCTCTGAATTGGAAAGGAGCATTAATTTAATCTTCCTTTATTTAAAATCCATTTAATGGATTTGGCATATCCTAATAAAGAGGTTACAGTTCTATAAAAGAAAACAGGAAACATCCTATGAAACCAAGCAAGAAACAATCAAAGGAAAAACTCTGAAATTTTTTGTGAAATTAAAATTGGAGTAAAAAGGTAGTTGACTGGACAATCTGATTTGCCTTTTTTTAATTTGCAACACCACTTGACATAATTTAAATTTAAATAATTAATTAAGAAATTCCACTGCAACAGAAAGTTTTAAGAACCTTTTATGTAACTTAATACAATGCTATTTGAGACTGCCAGCAAACTCTTAAAACTCCTGGACACTGGCTCTCTGCTCTTCTGGCTTCCCTCCTAGTCATGTCTTGGCTACTGTCCAGAGCTGACAACTTTCACCCAAGAGTGAAGGGAGATTTGTCTAGTATAAGGAGGATTTTTGAGCCATCCTAGATTTTCACATCCAGATGGGCAAGGAGGAGGGCTGGCAGTATCATTGTACATACTTGGGTGATGTCATTGTGCCATGCATGAATATAACCATTAATTTACTCCTACTGGTAAGTCCTGAATGTCCTTAGTCAAATGTTCCTTATTAGAAAGTGTAATGTAACAACTTCAAAGTCAACACAAAAATTACTCAAAGTTTATGTCTAAGTAATTGATGCACAAACACCTTGACTTCTCCATTTCCAACTACGTATACTACAGACCAAAGAGATTTCACATCTTGGCTAATAACATAAAAACACTTAGAATCTGTTAGGATGAGAATGTGAAAGTTCCAGTTTCAAGACCTCTGCTCAGATTATTATGCTAAAGCTTCCCAAACACCGTGAGTTATATTATAACAATTTATTGTCCATAGTGTATTCTTCCTAAAGTGAATTGTTATTATTATGCTTTTGAGGTTATTTAAAGCTGTTAATTTTAGATTCTTTTTAAGTAAATTTCACCTACCCTTATCTAAAAGACCACTTAGTATTAACACTATGATTTGAAAGGCAAGAGTGGTTTTAAGGTATGATCATACCATATCTTACATATTGATACCATACTCCCTATGAATATACCATACTCCCTATGAATCTCAGAGGTACCAAAGTAACCTGTAACACTAATTTAACTTTCAAAAAAATATGTACATTTACATGCCCAAATATCTTTTATGCTTTGTTCTTAACTGGAAGACTGAATGAGTTTGCAGTTAAGATAAAGATTATCTCAGTCAGGAATTTAGATGTTATTATAATTTCCAGTACTTCGTATTCTACATTTTTTCAGTATCTGTACAACTTTCACCATCCAGTTTACCACATTACATAAACTATTTTCCAAAACTGCTGTGCAGAAAGCAGTAAGGTCACTGTTAAATATAACTTATTTTGTGGTAATGATTAAAACTTTTTTCTTGCTGTAATACTTTATGAAAGCTTTTATAATAGGATTTAGTTTGTAGTTAATAACTGTAGTATAAACCTACAGAACTTAGAAACCCAATAAATGAAATATATGCATGAGTTTCTGAGATTTCTAAATCCAGGCTGTAAACATCTTTTATTTTGGAATTCATTAGTTTTCCTCTACAAAGTGGATAGTTGGGTTTTTTTTTATCTCCCCTAAATTACCTTAAAAAGATCTATAATGTTAACAAATATTATGGGGTGTTAAGTGGTTTATTAGTAAATTTTAGGGTTAAATTGAAGAAAGAATCCCTCTTTGAAATAAATATCATGTTGTCCATTTAAATATACAGGACCTTGCTTATAGAATGCTAGAACACTAATTCCATCCTTAAACCTTACAATTTCTATTATTAAAATAATTGAGAAATCTCTAGTTTATATCACTACAATTCCAAATAGATGAGTTCTAACAAAAATTGATTTTTATCATTTAGATTCAGATATTTAGATACAAAGGCTTAGACTTGTATTTATAGATAAAAGGAAATCTGACCTTTTGATTAAGAAATATTGTCAGTAGCCTTTATAAGTGCTTGTTCATCTGAGGGTCCATGAGAGGAGTACTCTTCCCAGTTGAGTTTATCCTAAAAATGAAATGGTAAGAGCCTGCTGGTTGTTATCTAAGATTCTTCTTAATGGGAGAACCACATGGTTATTCTTCATCTCCCACTTGTTCTCACCCTCTACAACCAACCCAGCCACACCCCACCCCCACCCCAACATTGTTCAGTACTCAGCACAATGAATCATTTTCAAGTTGACTCATTGTGAACTGTCTCCCAGCTGTTGGAATGTCTGGCAGACATTTTTGTTTGGGTGAAGAATAACTGGCTGAAACCCAACCTGGATGAGTTTGATATAATAGTCTTTGGCTAAAGAAATATTGAGAGGAACTTGTTTATGGCCTCTGAAGCCCCTGTTATTCCTGGAGTAGGACCATTCCCTGTGGCATAGAACTGAAAGTAAGGAATCAATCTGGATTATTTTCTCACCATTGAATGAAAAATTGCCTTGGAAAAAAAACGGGCATTTTCAAATTATGTTTTTCTGTACTCGGTACCCACGTGATTGAGAGTATTAAAGCCAATTAAGGATAATTATTTTTACTGGTTCCTTTTAGGAGCACTGATTCAAAGGCTAAAACATTCTGTATACAACACACATTTCTACTTACAGAGGAGTTTCAAAGACTGCCCTAGGTATGAGTTAAACAGGCATTTCAGCATAATGTTTAGTGACAGAAGCTACTATGTATTTCTGATAGAGTCAGGTAACATTAACGAGCTTTCTTTTATTTTTCATTCTGCAGTCTTTACAAGGGAACCTAAGAAACAGAGGAATACCAGTAAGCTCAGTAGTCAATCATGTTTTCAGAAAGTGAACATACTTGATTATGTTTGGACTTTCCTCTAACAGGACATAATGTTGGACTGAAATTTTCCTGTTTTATATTTCCCATCCTTTTCTAAAGATTATTTTTAAACAGGTAGACATTACCATTGTATAAAATGGGAGTTTCAAAATTATAAAATTTTACAAACAACAATTTTTCAACTTATCTAGAGCTTCAGAGCAAAAGTTTTTTTCTAAGATGTTATCGAATTAGACCTACCACTATGTCACAGGCTAAAAGGAATACTGAATTTCTGTTAAATAAAATAATTCAAGAGAACCTATAGGGTATTTGATAATTATATTTTTAATTATTTTTTATAGCCATGAAATTCTGGGTGTTTTAGAATGTTTGCTACTTAAAATGTGACTTCTTTTTTACAATATATTATTTAGCAATATTTTTGGTTCATGTCTGGTTGTGTTGGGAAGGAAAAGGTAGGCTACTAGTCTAGTGCTAGTCATCTACCGCCTTTTCTTTGCCTTTATTGTTATCCCAGAGCCAAATAGCAGCATCTGGAAGGAGAGAATAGAAGACTCCAGAGGTGGCCATGTTGCAACCTCTTAGCTAGACCCTTCCGTGTTTCTAAAATGCTACAGAGAACCTCAGCTGTGAGAGAGCTGGAACGTGGTCCCACTTGACAGATGATAATGGGACCTTGCCTTACACATTATACCATAATATCTACTGCTTTTGAATCCTGATGTCTATGAGATTTAACAATGGGCAATGGGTAAAGTAATTTGAAATGTAATAATGTATAAGGATAAAGGTAGGCTTGCCCCTTAAGACAGAAGAAAAATAATTTATATTCTCTACCAAAACTAAGATATGTCTCCTCAGCTCTTCCAAATAGAAAAGCATACCAACATAGGCTGGAATTTTCAATTAAGTGCATACTTTCATCCATTTTCAGCATGTGGTAGCCTTAACTTTTAAGTTATTTCTCTGCATTGATATTTATTTCCTCTATAATTTGTCATTGAGATGGCATAATGGCACTGAATAGATATTATATTTTTAAACATGAGTGTTTTGTTTTCTTGTTTTGCAGAATAAAGCAATTATTTCCCGTGTTACAAACTTGTCAGATACAGTAGTTGGTCTGGAATCATTTATTGGTTCTGAGAGAGAAACCAACCCATTATATAAGGATTATCATGGTAAGCATTGCCTTTATAATGAGAAGAGAATATCCTGATTGCTTCTAGGGTACCTGAAAGCATTGTATCCAGTCATAATATCTACTGTCAAGTAGCATGAATTTTGTTTTATAATATATCTATTAAATGTTTTCCTGGGGTGCCTGGGTGGCTCAGTCGGTTGGGCGTCCGACTTCGGCTCAGGTCGTGATCTCACAGTCCGTGAGTTTGAGACCCGCGTTGGGCTCTGTGCTGACAGCTCAGAGTCTGGAGCCTGTTTCAGATTGTGTCTCCCTCTCTCTCTGACCCTCCCCTGTTCATGCTCTGTCTCTCTCTGTCTCAAAAATAAATAAACGTTAAAAAAAATAAAAAATAAATAAATGTTTTCCATTCGTGACCATTCTTTCATGGCAGCTTGTCACCAAACTACATTAAGACTACAGACTATGGGGGCACCTGTGTGACTCAGTTAAGCGTCTGACTTTGGCTCTGGTCATGATCTCATGGTTCATGATTTCAAGCCTTACATCGGGCTCGCTGCTGTCAGCATGGAGCCTGCTTCAGATCCTCTGTTCCCCTCTCTCTCTGCCCTTCCCCCACTTGCATTCTCCTTCTGTCTCTCTCAAAATAAACTTAAAAAAAAAAAAAAGACTACAGACTATGGTAACTATTTGAAAGGAGTCAAACCCAAATACTTAGGCATGGCTCAGTTAGATATAAATGTTGTTGTCCCAGTGGCTTAAACTTGTCATGAAATCAGTTGTACTTATTAGCCATGTTTGAAATAAATATCATATTAATTCTAACAATAACAGCTTATATAGTGGTTTATGCTTTATAAAGCCTAGCTATATGATAAATAAAATTCATACTGTATTATACTCTATTGTTTTTTTTTCTTTTCTTTTTTTAATGTTTATTTATTTTTGAAAGAGAGAGAGAAAGAGTGCATGAGCAGAGAGGGGCAGAGAGAGAATCCCATGCAGCCTCTGCACTATTAGCCACCCAGGCACCCCATACTGCATTATGTTTTTAAAGTCCTAATCACACTTTCAGAAAGTGAACGTCTTTGATTACATTTGGAATTTGCTCATTTTGTTGAGTTAGGAGCAAATTTTATAATATTGCCATGCCCTAGTATAAACACAGGTCAATTAATCAGATTTTTACTTATTTTTTTTGAAGTTTCTTTTTCTTTTTTTTTTTTTAAGAGAGAGAGCATATGTGCACGTGAGCTGGGGAAGAGCAGAGGGAGAGGGAGAGAGAATCCCAAGCAGTCTCTGTGCCCAGCACAGAGCCCAATGTGGGGTTCAGTCTCACAACCATGAGATCATGACCTGAACCGAAATCAAGAGTCAGATGCTCAATCAACAGAGCCACCTAGGTGCCCCTTATTTGAAGTTTTTAGTAGCGTTTTGGTCATTTGATTAATTTGAAGATTTTTTAAATAAAGGTTCTTAAACAGAGCCGTTGAGATAGGAAAAGTTTAATAGTTTTGCATATCTTAGCTCTAAATTAAATATGGAGTATGGTGCATGATGGATTTTTACCTATTTGTGCTGAACACATACTAATTTTTGCTGTTACTATTGTGGACCTACGGTACTTTCATGGAAACCTTTAAAGACTGAATAGCTTATTTGAAACCACAAGAAAATTGTATAAGATTGTGATTGCAGGACTATGGCAATTCCTAGAGTCGACAAAAAAAAAAGATTATAAGATAATTTATATGATAACTGTCAGTGCTTTGAAGAAGCAACATACAATCTTTAAAAAAAAAAACCAATAAAATAGCACAATCTAACAATCAAGTATTATTTAAAGACTAGAAAATATAAGCTATGAACAAAAGCTACACAAAATGATTTGCCTCGTGATTATTAACTTACATAACTTCAAGTATGCTATATGCCCAGATTAACCCTATATATAATTATTTAATATACTATTGTCACTATTATAGGAAGAAGACTAATAAGTTTAAACTATTTCTTTTTTTTGTTATTGAACTCCAGTTGACATACAACATTGTATTAGTTTGAGGTGTACAAAATAATGATGTGATAGATGTAGGTATTGTGAAATGATTGCCACAGTTAAGTTTAATTAACATACATCACCTCACATAGTTTACAGTATTTTTTTCCTAGTGATGAGAACTTTTAAGATCTATTGTCTTAGCTACTTTCAAATGTACAATACAGTATCATTAAGCATAGCCACCATGCTACACATTACATCCCTAAGACTTATTTGTCTTATCATTGAATAAACTATTTTTCATTTTTTATTATGCCTATTTTCTTTTAAGACAACCTAAGTTAATTATTACCTTAATAAATTACATCTTAGTATCATTTGTAAGTATTATGACCCAATAAATTTAGTAAAATTATATTTTATATTCCAAGTCAATCATTTTGATTAAAACATTTTGAGAGTGAAAGGCTGTGATTTTTTTTGTGTGTGCTGAAATCTCTGAATTAATAAATGATTAACAGCAGATTCACGAGTGGTTTTGACAAGTAGCGTTTCTGTTAATATGAAGGACCTGATAAACTATATTTATTCATTGTGGGAGGCCTCCTTATTTAACAACTAAACAAGTACATACCAAGTTAAAATAAGGAATGTGCTAGTGAAAGTCTGGTGTGCTTATTTCTAAAGTATTTTACTAAATAGCTCTGAGATCTTTTTAATTTGTATCTAAAAGCTGTCTTCTTAACACTTGTAGCATTTTTTTAAGTTTAATGAATTAAATCAGATAGTTCAGTGAATTATTTTTGAAGGGACCATTTAGAAAGTTAAGCATCTGGAGGTTTAACCCTTTTAAGCTAAAACAAATATATACATTACTAAGCATTCAAACACACACAAAACTGTGCACTAGGGAAACAGTTCTTTAAATAAGATGTGTCTAATTTGCTCAGATTTGGGTTTGCCTTCTTCTCCCATGTTTAGGGATCAATATCTTTGGGATGATGATTTTAAATATAGGCTGAATCAGGCAGAGAGATGCACTGAAGAATCTTGCATGTCTTCATCTGTGGCAAATGACCCCGAGTTTAGTCAGAAACTGCATTAAGCTGCACAAAAGCCATCCAGTGCCCTTGTCAGAAAAAATTAGCAAGTGTTTCTACTGACAAGAGGCCAAAGCTCACGGTTTACCTAGCACTGTTACAAAGCTTATAACAGCTACATAAAGGTCTAACATGCCACAGAAATGAGTGTCTTGGGATGGCATAGGGGTTAATGTTTGATCCTAGAGTGAGCTCTGAAATGTAGTTTTCTTCAATGGTTTGCTCAAGTCATTAATAAGGTACAAAATGAAATACTTTTCACTAGTGCTTCACTGGTTATCAGTAACCCATAAGCCTTGTTTTGCTGGCTGCTTACTGGTGCATTTAATAAAATAAAGATCACTCAGTGGTGCCGTGGGCAGCATGCAAGGTGATAGCCATATTTGCTTACTGTAAATACAAGAGAAAATCACACACAAACCGGCTGTAGTTTTGACAAGTATTAAGATCCCTCTTTACATCTGTACTTCTGTACCAAAGTGCAATTAGTTTTCCTCGCACAAGGATTTCTGTTTATCTTATTCTGCTTGATTACTTGAGTATAATCACACCATTTGCTTCATTGCTCCTGGTAGTAAGCTCCAGTTTTAAAAGGGGAGGATGCTTGTGTGTAAATTTACAGGATTCTGCTGTAAGACTCTTTGATTTATGTATCTAAGACAGTGTTTTTAAATTTTTGTTCTTTTAATTTTCTTTTCACAAGGTTTGATTCATATTCGGCAAATTCCTCGGCTTAATAACTTGATTTATGATGTATCCGATGTCAAAGACTTAGCTTTTAAATTAAAAAGGAAGCTATTCACCATTGAGGTAAGAGAGAATTTTTATATTTTAGTTCATGGTCTTGAGGTTAAATAGTCTATGCGTGTGTGTGTGTATATATATATGTCTGTGTGTACACATATATACATACACACATATATATGTATGTGTCTGTGTGTGTATATGTATGTATGTATATATATATTTTTTACTTTAATGAAATTCTTAGAAAGTGTTTCCTGCTAATATGTTTATGTTCTTTTGGTGTAACAAAAAAATGTTAGACTATCTTATTTTTCCTCTTTTAATGGCATATCATTAGAGTATAGCAAAAATGACTTTGTTTTCAATATTGTTTGAAGTAAGCTCCAAACTTCTATGATAAGTATGGCATGTGTATTTCCAAGGCTTTCAAAACATATTTAATTAAATGTTAATGAGCTGTGCTTATTTGTGTGTGGAATGTGAATGCTACCCACAGTTGTGTATGACTAAGAAAAGAGGATTCTTACCTATATTCTAAAAGCAGTTTTCTGTACTATTAATGAAATCACCTTTCCACTTTCCATGCTGAACAAAACAAAGTAAAATTTACACCAATGTCTTTATGTAAATTTTCTACAAAACTTAAACTTTTTTTGTGACCTTTATGCAAGGAATACTGACAGAAAGTAGTAGTATGAAAGATTTATTTCACCTTAATCTTGCTAAAGAGCAAATGAACATAGCACTATTAAGCAATTAGAGTTGATGTATTTATTAACGAAATAAATGCTCAGGGAGAGATGGCTTTTGGGTGATGTGATAGTTATCAGTATAGTCCGTGCAATTTTTTTTAACAAAGACATAAAACAGCCAAGCAGCCTTGACAAACCATTTTGTTTAATCTCTTTTCAAATGAAAAGCTCTTAAGCAGGCCACTTGTCTTAACTGCTTGAAACCATAAAAAGAGAGAATTGCCACCAATAAATTAGCATATTTTTAACTTCATCACCAAATGATGGTCAATGTGGCTTGGCACTGCTTTGGTGTTTGGGACTTCACCCTTAAGTGACCACTTTGGCCCTTTTTTGACCCTCTGCCCTCTTTAGCTGGCCACTTGATAAGGTAACTTAATGGTTCTCTCTCTTTTTCTCTTTCCCTTCACATTTGCAAGTAGCACTAACCTATAAATCATTGTAAGGGCCCTATCCAGTGACAAATTAATGTGCCCTCCTCCTAATTAATGGTCATCAATGTCCTTAATTATCTAATCCTATTGAGAGCAGTTAATAGTTAATCAGGCAGCCAGTTCTTCAAGCAGGCCATCTCTGCAGGAGTGTTAGAAGTTTCTCATCTGGGGATGCGCCCTTCAAAAGCCACTTAGAGCCAAGAGAACGAGAGTGTAGAAATACTGTTTCTTGAGCTAATTTGCTTTAGTTCTCAAAAGAAACCATTGAAATGGAACCCAACACTGTAATTGTTCAAACTTTCTTTCAGTTTTTCTGATAGAATACTGAGAAATTTACCATTATTATTTACCAATATTCAGCAACATTTTGTTGAAAAATTTTAGAGGGATCAAGTTATAGCTAGTGTCACAAGGAAAGCATGCCTCATCATTTTCTTTTAAGTTGAATTTATATTTTTAATGAAAGATGTAAATTGTTTTTTTTTTCCTCCATATGACATCTTTCTTCCAAGATGAGTATTCTGACAACCAGATCTAAGGTATCAGGTGTATCATCATACAAACTAAGCAAGCAGATTCCCTAGTGAAAAAAATATTGTACCTAGAGAAAAATGTAGCACTGTAGTGTGAATCATGTTCTCTCTGTCTCTGTCTCTCCCACTTCCACTCCCTCTCCCTCTCCATCTCTGTCTCACACACACATATACAACACATACATGAACACACATTTGGTCTTATATTGGGGATGAAGGATAGAAATAGAAGACCTTAATAATGTCAAGTGGAACCTCTCCTTTGATAAATTTAGGTTCCAATAGTGACTACACTTTACCATTGGAGCTGATGTAAGATCTTTTATAAACCACATAGGTTTCTGTTCCACTTCCTCTCTTCTATTCCCAACATTCTAAACCAAGAACAATTAGAATTGATCACCCTGTGGTTTGGAAGCAATATTTGAAAACAAAACACAAATAGATTGTTGGTTTTTAAAAATTTAATATTTAATACAGGTGATCAAATCCTTTAGCTTTTTGACTTATAACCTAATCAATAAGGTATTTTTATACATAGAAAGGTAGGTAAAACACATTCCAAATAATTTATTTACTTATGCCATAAAATTCAATTTGGTGATTAGAAAAAATATGAATTAAAGAATGAAACAAACCTAATAGATGCATATATAGATATAAGTATAATAGGATAAAATCATGTGGTTCACATAAGATTAAATAATTTAAATATAGCATTTTACCTTCTAAAATGCATTCTCAAACAGCAAGTTTTTGGTGATATATTATAGAGATTGGAAGCAAGAGGATTCCTTTATTAAGGGAAAAATTATCTATCAAGTGATATTGTTTTCATATGTACAACAAATGGTTTTTTTAAAACTGCTCTGAAACTAAAAAAAATGAATAAAATGTATACTCTACTAGTCTGTAAAGTGTGAGACTATAATACAGCAGGCATTGAATCTGTGTTTTACTTTCAGAAGGGAAGCGTGGTTTAGCAGGTAAAGCAGAAATAAGTTTTCTGATTCCACACAGATAGATTTCTTACATGTTGGAATTTACTATGGTCACATGGTCTCAAAAGTTGGCATGGTTGAAAACAAGGGGCAAAAGAAATAGGAAAATGCCCTCTTCTCTATTTTAGGGTACCCTTTCTTTGATTTATTAAATGCCCATTTTATATATGAAAACTGATTTTTTTTTTTGGCCTAACAGCCACCAAGGACCTCCCACAAGCAGAGCAATTTTAGCCAGCAGTCTTAAATTTCTTTGAATGATTTGGAAAAGGCAAAAGAATATTTCTTTCTTCTTAAATGTGTATTATTCAGACTCAAGTGGAAACATTCATCTAATCATTGTAAATTTTTACTAATAGTATTCATCAGCTATGAAGCTCTATAAATTAGCCCCTCTACAAAAACCATAGCAGAATCACATCTATAGTAATGACACTAATATCCTGGCATGCATTCTGGGTAAGCAGAAGAGAAAATTTAAGGTTGATTAAGTATGACTTCAGGTTTAAAACAATAGCTTTCCAATTCTTTGAAAATTCATAATCCTTGTAAACTGTACATAACTCTCTAGCATATTTGATTAACCATGACATACTTCTTTCTTGGCCTTACCACATAACCTTTATTCAATCATAGTAAGATTTACTAACCCTTTATTGTATACCAGGACTTCTATTGGCTTATTTATACTTTCTATATAGTAATTAAACATTTTATAACGAAAGGTTTTACTATGAAACTGTCTTTTTCATCTTCATATCTATCCCAGAATTAAGCACAGAGCTGTACACTTAGCAGGTATAAAATCTTTGCTGAAATATATGTATAGAGATAAGTTGTGGCGTTTGAAAAATTGTCCAAATAATACAGCTATAAATACTATATAAGCTCCATTGGTCAAGTGACCTATAAATACTACCTTCTCCATTAAGTTCTGTAAGAAATATAATTTGGGTGCAATAACTTCACTTCTAAGCTGAAATAACTACTTAGACTTGTATTTTTTTTCAGTTTCTGTAATTTTTGCCTCTCTATTGTTGGGATGATCATTAACCAGTTTTTTTTTCTTTATATTAGTAATTATGATGTAATTATAATTCCTAAACTAGTAAGATTTGGCCGAATTTGCAATTCATTGTGACTTCATTTTCATTTAATTTAATGACCTCATAACAGCAGCATTTTTACTTGCATTTAATAATATTTTGCTATTGTGATTTTCTGTAGTTCAGCTTGATCATATTTTAACACATTCTAATAATCTGATTTTCTAACATAAATAGTAATAGCATGTTATCACATTAGTTACAGTCTCTATATTAAAGTTATTACCAACAGAGTTTCTGCTTTGGTAATGGGACAGTTTTCCAGCTCTAAGATTCAGTGTTAATTTCAGGTCAGAAAGTATGATTACTGGGTTACACTGAAATATACAAAAGGCATACACCATTCACTGCAAATTTTCAAAATAAGGATAAACAATACTTACATAGCTTTAATTGGTCCAAAAATAGTAATTTTCATAAATAGTATATTTATGTGAGTCTTGTACCCTGCATGAATATTGAGAGCCCAGAAAATTGAAGTAAATTAAGACAGTCTCAAGACTGTCTTTAATTTTTCCCCCAGTTCCAAATACAGGACTCCAATACCTCCCCAGTCATTAAGAACTTTTTCTCACAGAAGAATTGATTAACCAGTGTTTATTAAGTAACAACTATTTTTGATGCACTTACTTAGAAAATTCATTCTTTAAGTATTAACACCAAAATATTAGACGCCATAAGTATAAATTAGTTTTATATAGTATTATAATATATTTAATGTGATTCAGTAGAATTATTTGAAATTTTTACATATTGGAAAAACATAAACTCTTGCAAACTACAAGGATATCAGTCACTTTGACAATGCTGGACAATGTAGAGTTGCATGGTATCTTTGGTCCTGGGTTTCCTTACTTGCCAAATTTTGTATCAATAGGCTTTTCAGTTTTAAATGGGAAATAGAAAGGTGACTGTTCAGTATACCTAGAACTAAAGGGGAGAGATGGTTGACTTATTTGTCAGTTAACAATTATGTCACTAAAATAAAAAATGGAAACATAAATGTCTGCCTCAAGAGCATTAAGTTGTAGCATGATGAGCCATATAGTCCAATACGCCTTTTCTGATAATGATGCCCTCCACAAATATTGAAATGCTCAGTTCCCAGATAGATTGCAGTTAGCAAAAGAAAATCAAAGTGTAACATAGGCCTCTGTTCATATAGACCAAATCACTTATCAAAAGCAAATTCAAATGAGCATTTTTAAACAATGGAAATGTCATTTTCTCCATGTTT